ATGCGTTGTTATGGGTAATGAATGTTGATTTACATTATAGTACGGCAATATAGTATTTGTGCGCGTGTTTGTGTATGAGTAAGGGATTGAAATGTTATTATGTTTGATGTTTGAGTGCTAATACACCTCTGTGTATGTATGTTTATATAGGAGTAGACGGGGGTGGGGGTGGGGGGGAGGGGGGCAATCAGGTGTATGTATGGCTTTGTTTGTATGAACAGGGTGATAAAAACATTTACAACTTGTTTTGTAAATATCTTCCTCCATACTATGGCTTTGAGTTTCAGATTTGAACATAATGTTTGGAAGACAAAAGGAATTTGTCTGATATGTATTTTAGATAAGTCCGTTGAATGGTTTTGCTCTCTATAGTGCATTAAAAAAACAACGCACTTTTAACCTTGTCGCCATTTTCATAGCATGACGTACCAGTTTGCATTAATCCTACCTCTAAAAGTTGAAACAATCGCGCCATATTGCAAGGTACAGCAGTCTAACAAGTCAACAAAAGTCTGCATATATTATTTTTCCCAAATTGTGTTTGCCTGCTGAGATCATGGCTACGTTTAGTAAAGAGCACAGAGCTTTCTGTATTGAACAGTACCTCTCCACAAACTCACCATCCCTGACATTTCATAAGTTCTTCGCACGGTTTGGAGAGAATGCTTAGGCCCTCAAGACCTTTGGCGTCATGAGTAGAGAAGTTCCGTCAGTTTGGATCTATAGCGAATCAGAACTAAAAAAAATTCTTTTAAAAATGACCACTTCAGGTCGAACACGCACCATGCGCAGCCTTTTAAACGTCTCAAGAGTGCAGATTTCAGTAGTTGAGTCCAATGATACGTCTGTCCGTAGACGACCTGCAGCTAGGACTTTCTTACACATCCACAGTCTGCATCCTCATGGCAGATCTTAACATACCACTATACCATGTTCATCTTCGCTTGGCCGAGATGACATGGATCAGAGCATGGCAATGTGTTCATGATTCCTCGTTTGTCTTGTAAAGAGGGATCATTCCCTCGATGCCATTTGGTTTAGTGCAAAGCCCACTTTCACCCTGCGGGATATGTTAACTCCAAAAATACTGTCTATTGGGCACCCCACTCTATTGTTTCTAGAAGCCACTTCTTAGTGAATATGTATGTATGTATGCATGTGTTTGTTTTTGCGTCTTTAAGTCAGAGAGACTTTTCAACAAAAAAGAGTTAGAATGTCAATTTTACGTATGAATCTAACTCACATCTTTTTGCCCAAAAGACATAGAAGAGTTGGCATGCACCACTCCAATCTTTACCTCTAATCAATAAGATTATATTTTAAACATGTTGATGAAGCGAAAGAATACCCAGATTTATTCTATGAATTGTAATATGTATTATGTGCTTGGCAGTTGAAATGCTGAGTTACGTTTTGCGATAATTATAAACCCATTAGATCTAGCCAGGTTGTTTTTTTCAATATATTCGTCTACATTTACATAAATCTTATATGCGTTAGTTAGGCAAATTTTGGGCCAAATACAATTTCACTTTGATCCTACAGAAGAGCTAATGAAGCTGGTAAATGAAGGGAGGGAACAGAAAATGAAAATGAAAAAATTTCTCACACACTACAAATAACGATAAAACGTATAAGATAAAATGCTGTGAGTTCACATGTTCAGAAGAGCAAGAATGGTTGCTTATAATAATACCATTAGGAAAGGTGGAGGTCAAGACAGGACAAAGTAACTATGACACAAACAAAAATATAAAAGTCGCTAGAGTCTACGTAAACTCCAGACGATTCTTATAGATGACTAGAACAACATTTACAGTCGTGCGACATTGTACGTAATGATTGACAGCTTCTTTCACAGCAGTGTTCACAGGTGACCCAAGGTGCATCACGCCTAATGACGCGAAGATGATGATTTAAGAGGTTTTGAAGAGCACTTAGCTGGTAAATCGATTTCTTAAAACTCCTCTTGCTACGAAATAGCAGGCAGGCAACTGAAGTTCTATTATCTCCTCGCGGTAAGGCCTCTAGGCTCTGAGCTGCTTTGGACTCCACGACAGGTCTTAATACAAGAATAGGCAAAGTTGCATGCGGCTTCGCGCCTTCTCTCTTCCTTGCTATGCTCAGTTGCTAAAGACAATGCAGCAGGGATCAGCCCGGAGGTTATGTGACAAAACCACTATATGACAATAAATAAAAATACTGGTTTGCGAACTCACTTTGTTAATTTGCTAGAAATAAGTTCTAGATAATTACCCACGCCTGTCTACTTATTCGTGAAACAACACCCGATGCCAGTAAAAAGTAAACATACACCTGCATTCAAAACGTACATGACCTAGCATGCACATCCGTGGTTTCCAGTCTCCGTGGGGTCATTCTGTTTGCCGTGACGTTATACGAAACAAAACGCTTGTTGTGTTTTAAAAAAAGCTGAGGTTCCAATATATTGTATTTTTACCTGCAGACCACAATACAATTTTGTATTGTAAAATGTGGCTGTGTGATCTAAATTAGGTCAGTAGAGGTGTAATAACACCTACCTTTGTAATAAAAGATTGCTGTTATTAACTCGGTCTGTGTCATGCTAAACAATAACTGAATTGTCCTTGTTCGAATCCCCAAATGGATGCTTTTGAACTGGCTTCTCTTGCGTAATTTGCAAGGCACTCTACTTAATTACTCTTCAGTTAAATAATGTGCATAGAGCCAGTTGAACTATCATTTGATCATTTGGAGATGACGTTTCTTATATAAAGCATGTCCCTCGGGAAAAAAAGCCTTCGTGACAGCAGCTCTGGAAGCAGTTCTTTCCAGTATAATACACAAAGACTCAGACACCCTTTTCTCTTGTTGTACACAAAAAGAATTGTAAATTTGCAGCTTCAAGGGACACTCAAGCTTTGGAGGTTACTACATTTTGGCGGCCATATTCTTGTTAATTTTTCTTCTGACACCAGGTGACCCCTACCTCTTTCCATCTCAGATATTTAGACTCATATCCAGGATAGATGGGTATGTTTTCAATTTTTTTTAAAGTCAGACAAATGAAAGGGTTTTACGATGGTACCAAACTCCCCCCCCCCCCCCCCCCCCCCAAAGAAAAAAAAAGAAAAATTGATCAGCGCCGGGTTCTACCGTGTCGTAACACATGTCTTTATTTTTATAACCCCCCCCCCCCCCTTTCCCGGGTGTTTTTCGCCACGTTTGACCTGAGGTTTTTTTCCTCAGATATATCCCTTTCCAAACTCTTGTACCCCTGTATGTGGTGATGTCTTATTGCTTGCTTTAAATTATATCTTCGTGTCTTAATTTTTTTTTCGCAGAATTTCCAAATTTGTTGTCTATTCCATTTATAACACCTGGGAAAGCATTCTATTTCACTATTGTCCTAATATTATGTGTAATACCATATTCTGCATTTCGCAAAACATTTTCCAAATAGATTTAGGCACAACACAGTCACAGAACCAGTAAAGAAAACACCTGATTGAATAATATGCAGGCGAACTATCTAAACCTTTCAATTAAGTTAAGTATAATTTTTGCTGGCGTGATCAGCCATTTGGCAGTTACCGCAACATTTCGGATGGCGTTTGGAAGAGAACTGTATTTCTGCATGTGGTGTTTTGAAGATTTTGACCAAATTCCTGATTTCCAGAGAGTGGGTGGTAGACGGGTGCTCTAGTGTGGCTTGCTTCTTCTTTCCTATCAAACATCCATCGTCCTTATCTCCCCTTCTTCTTTTTTATGTCAATTGTTACTCTTTTGTAACACCTCTAATCTTCTCGCGCTCATATGACCTTATACAGTTGCGAGCGCCGTAAAACTTCTACTAAAACTAAGAAAGACTTTGAGACATGGCTTACTGTACGAATAGTGCCAATCTTTCTACTTTCGTTGGCATTGGTATTTTCCAACTTTCCTGTTAAAAAAAAATCAATGTCTTCCCGAAAAACATTGTCGCTTCCGAAATTGAATCTTGTCTTGTACAGTCCTCTGTTATTCTTTCTATGTTAAAAATGGTTGTTTTACATATGTTGTGAGTTCTCTTTATTGTAATTAAATCTCCATAACAGTAAGGACAAAGATTCGTAAACTCAAAGCTCGATTTTGGCATGTATTCCAGAAACAAAGTCGTGCAACACATCATTGTTAGTGTGTCCTTGTTTTATTCATTCTTCGTTTCTAAAAAAAACAAAAACAAAAAACAAACAAAATAAAAACCAAAAATTAAACCGAAAGAAAACCCAGTTCCTAATCCTTTGGTAAAGTAGTGCCCGGAGTGCACTAAGTGCACTGGTTGTCCCGCTCACTGAGACGACGGTTGTTGTCGTGGCAATACTCAGCAAACTCCTCCCACGCGCATGGCTTCTCGAAGCAGCACTCGGTCATGATGCCGCGCTTTTTCCGTCTCAGGCCGCGCTTCCCGCCGCCGGGACGTCCGCCATGGCTGGTCAGGAAACCGGTGGCCTTCCGTTTGGGGAGGAACGGGTTTTGGGGGATCGGTGGTCCTGAAATAGGAGATCGAAAGAGGAGCAATTTAAAAAAATATATATTTTGAGTGTATGTGTGTGTGTGTGTG